AACATCTCATTGACTTAGAGTCGAAATATTCTAAACTTTACAAACAAACACAAAAAGTTGAAAGGAAAACAAAAACAAATGGCATATGATATTTACGAAGATGTTGACGACACAACCATACCTGCAAGTGAGGTAAAGTCAGAGGAACCGAAAAGTGACGAAAAACCGATAGAAGAAGAAAAACCAAAAACTGAAGATAAACCAAAACCAAAGTTTAGTTTCCAAACTAAACCAACTCAACCTTCATTAGCTGGTATGGGTTGGCGTCAAAGACTTATGGCAGCAAGTGCTTATGTAAAGTAAAGAAAAAAAACATATTTTTTTATTTTATTTGAAATGTACGCTGAGTTTGTTGGAGAAGACCGTTGGGAAACTTGTTTGTTAGATGAGAAATATGAAATGGCATACCATTTTAAAACAATATATTTTTAAAAAAATATTTTTTTATTTTATTTGAAATGTACGCTGAGTTTGTTGAGAAGACCGTTGGGAAACTTGTTTGTTAGAATGAGAAATATGAAATTCACTGTTGTGAGTCATTTGAAGTCAGAAACAAAAAGACAAAAAGAGTTTTAAGCGAATGGGAGGGAAATGACGGATATGCTATTATGAGGATGGGTGGAAAAAACTATTTTAAACATGTTGTCATTGCAACTCATTTTATACCGAACCCTAACAATTTACCTTTTGTAGACCATATAAACCGTATAAGAAACGACAATAGACTTGAAAACTTGCGTTGGGTCACTTGTTCTGAAAACAATAAGAACAAAAGCAAATTTCGAGATATTGTATTCGAATTTGTCGACGAACTAGAAGATGAAACAATTGAAATTACAGACTATGGCGAGCATACGTTTGAGTTTTACTACTATAGCGAAGAACAAGACTCTTTCTACTTTTATACCGGCGTAAACTATAGGAAATTACAAGTATGTTTTACTAAGGATGGCTATGCTTATGTAAACGCTAGAGATACAGATGGAAAACACGTTCGAATATTTCTTAACAAATTCAAGAAGCTATATGGCATACCATTTTAAAACAATATATTTTTACATATATTAAATGCTTCAGGTTGAAAAACAAAGAACAAAAGTAGCAGATACAAAACCGTTAGACTATATCTTTACAAATGCTGGTAGGACTATTTCAGATGAAGAAATTTCATCCCGAGCATACAGGTTTGACTATCCAATTCGTTGGCTTCAAAGTCCTTCAGATGCAAAGGCAATAGGATTTAGAAGAGTTTTGTTTTCAAATAGAACTAACGCATTTATGTTCGCAGTATATTTTCATGGGCAGTATAAAGGTTCTGGTGGTCTAATAGACAAATTTGACGAAATGAGAATCTTTACAGTTCGTTCAGACGAAAGTCTTGAGAAAACTCTAAATGACTTTCAAACTCAAATGAACAAATATTATTGGGAATTTCAAGAAAAATACGACTCTTTACTAAATGGAACATACTATCTGAAACTAGAATATGACAAGATGAACTCCACCGTTTCATTTCAAAAGATTGAAATTAACCCTCCAAGAGATACAGAGTTTTTATATTGGAAAGTAGACAAACGTTCTTGGGCACAATTTCTTCGGTTACTAAACCAGAACGAACCATTTAAATTTATACTTCCACCAGCAGATTTGATGGTTTATAGAAACGTGTTTGACCCTCAAAATGTTATGTGTCATGCAAGTTTCAGTTCAAGCAACAATAGTTTTCTATGTATTGGTAAGGACTTTTATGACTTTGCTTCTAAATTCTACGAACCATCTAGTAACAGTTTCTCTGACTTTCAAGTTTGGTTCACAACAAATGGTGTGCAACATATTATTCCATTGTACTATGACTTTTATCTCGAATTGTCTTTCATATATAACTACGGAAAAGTGCTGAAAAAGTATTGAAAAATAATGTTTATGTTAGCATGTTAGATCTAACACGTTTTCTAACACGTTTTCTAACATCGTAGAAAACTCAAGACTTCTTCGTACATGTTTTGTCAAGACTTCTTCGTACATGTTTTGTCAAACATGAACGTAAATGTTTTGTCATGATTTCATCGTACATGTTTTGTCAAGACTTCTTCGTAAATGTTTTGTCAAACATGAACGTAAATGTTTTGTGAAGAATATAGCAACCGCCGGAATTCAGACGGTTGCTTTTTATACAAAATTCATGCGGGAAATTCTTGAGTTTTGGTTGAAAGAATACGGTGGAGCCAAATGTGGCTCGACCTCAAAACAAGCATTTTATGAGCTTACAAAGGGCGTTATAAATGAATTCAAAGGTATTTACATACATCCTGACCTCGTTCATTTTGTTGCTGAATTCAGCAAAAATAATGTTTATGTTAGAATGTTAGATCTAACACGTTTTTTAACACGTTTTCTAACCTCATGAATTTTCATGAATTTTCATGACTTCTTCGTAAATGTTTTGTCATGACTTCTTCGTAAATGTTTTGTCAAGACTTCTTCGTAAATGTTTTGTCAAGACTTCTTCGTAATGAGTGTAAAGGACCCAAAAATAATGTTTATGTTAGAATGTTAGATCTAACATGTTTTCTAACACGTTTTCTAACATGGTCTAAAACTCTTGAATTTTCATGAATTTTCCCGAAATAAAAAATAAAATTAGTTTTATTTTTTATTTTATTTATTTTTTTTATTTTGTATAAAAGACATGATTTCAACAATCGGCACAACAACAATTCAAACAACTACAGCACCAAACTACGCTGCTAGTTATGAATCCAACATCTATGTTAGTAGAGATGAAAAACTTCATTCCTTCTTCATATACTTTCGAAACAAAAATCCAGAAGATAAAGCAAGAACTTTTAACATCTAATTTAAACTGTAGTGCGGGAAAGATGAAACAAGAACAGTATCTTTATGAAATGCAGGACATTATTGACCATTTACCCAAATTGCCTGAAATTCAGCAGCAAAAACTAACCATTCCCGAATTTGACGAAATAGAAGTCAAAGCAACTGACTCAGTAGAAATAAAGAAGTTCATACGAAAGGTAAATTATGAATTCCTTGGTTTTCATTGCAACCATAAGGTTATGGACAAAGATTGCGACATGGTATATAAGAACATCTCTGACCTTTACAAATCCGAAGAATTTAAGACCTACGACAACTTTGTTTCGTTAGTTGCAAAATGTGTTTGGGAAATAAGAGATAAAGATAGTAGGGGTAAGGTATGGAACGAACAAATAAGACCCGCTATGTTCGAGATGAAGAAAAACCATTGACGCCTTAGTTGTTTTAGCAGGTAAGGTTTCAGAATATAACGCTAAAATGAACCCGCAATGTTCAAAATGTAAAGCAGCAATGAGGAAATATAACTACTCCGTCAAAGAGATAGAACGTATGCGAAACGACTATGCAGATTTAAAGAAAGAAGCAGAAAAACCAGCAGAAGATAAAATGAACATGTTAGAATTTCTGAACAAAAAACTATCCAACTGCTGACGATTTCCTTCTATCTGACGTCAAAAGAAGTATAAAGAAACTTTCGGTATCGTTAAAACTTTTGACATACTGACAGAAGAAATAGAAGCTACGAAATTGTTTAAAGTCATGAACCATCGCAACATATACCATGTAAAACGCTTGTAAATAGTTATGTTAGAAAACATGTTAGAAAACATGTTTTCTAACATTCTAACATAAACATTATTTTTATTGAATTCCGTATGAAATTTCATGAGTTTTGTGTGTTTTAGACCATGTTAGAAAACGTGTTAGAAAACATGTTAGATCTAACATTCTAACATAAACATTATTTTTGCTGAATTCCGTATGAAATTTCATGAGTTTTGTGTGTTTTAGACCATGTTAGAAAACATGTTAGAAAACATGTTAGATCTAACATTCTAACATAAACATTATTTTTGCTGAAAAAATGACCAAATTTCATTATATAACTGTTATTTTTTGACGAAGAGAACTTTTGCACTTCGTCAAAAAAATCCCTGAAATCATATCTTTTATACAAAATAAAAAAATAAAGTTAGTTTTATTTTTATTTATTTTTTTATTTTGTATGTAAGAATAGAAATGACAAACACTGAGTTTGAAACAGTTAAAAAGATAGACAATAACACTAAATTGGTTAGAATAGGTGATTTAAACGTAAGATACTCAAAGAAATACAACAAATATTCTTTGTCAGACATTATATCTCCATCTGGAAAGAAAACATCCCACGACTGGGTTAGAATTGCTTCAACTCAGAAAATTTTGACAAGAAATCCTGAGCTTATGATATCGGTAAGATTCTATGGAACTACAGCATATCTTATAGACAAAAGTCTTATACCAATAGTTTTGTTATGGTTAGACCCAGTTGTTGGATATAACTTCATAACATATGGTTCGTTCGACTCAGAACGTTGCAGTGAAGGCTTACTTTACATCGTTCAGAAACCGAAGGACTTCAATACAAAGAGATATAAGATAGGAAGAACATATAATATAACTCAAAGATATGACAGTACAGTCAATAGAGTTAAGGTTGTGTTGTTAACGATATGAGAGCTGCTGAAACAGAACTACTTGAAAAGTTTGAGAAAATGTATGGTGCTCCCATAAAAGGTAAAGAAACGTTTGAAGTAGATGAGATAGATAAAGCTATAAAATTATTTGACGAAGTTGCTGAAAAATACATGTAAAGCGTTTATTTTTGGTCTTTTGTGAAAGTCAGAAAAAATAAAGTTAGTTTTATTTTTATTTATTTTTTTATTTTGTATGTAAAGACAGATATGTCAACAACAGAGAACACAACAACAGTTATAGTCCATGAAGCTATAAATGAAGAATACGAGTACATACAGTTTAACAAACAACTCCGTCTCATTCGTTCAGTCAAAGACGATATGTACCAAATGCAAAGTATTTTGAATGCTCTTCGTTCTACAAAGCAAGCATATCATTGGTTTGAAAACCAACAGACAAAAGAACTTTTAGAAGAATTTCCTCATATGTTTGCTTCCCTCGGAAAACCGAGGAATGAGATTCCGTACGAAAATCGTAAGAATTTGCCAATAAATTTGAAAGGATATTATGTTCATAGACTTCTTGTAAATGCCGTAGCAATGTGGGCTTCACCTCGTTATGCTTGTTATATTTTCATGATGTTAGATGAAATTCATAGACAAGAACGTGAAGAGATGGAAAAGAAACTTCAAGCAAAAGATGAAGTCATTGAATCCAAAGACAAAAGCATTCAGAAAAGAATACCACGTTCGGTACCAAAAGGAAAGGAAAAGAACTATAAGTATATGATTTATACTGAAGAGATGGAAAATGAAGAAGATAAAGATATGGTTATGTTGCATTTAGTCAGAAGAAACAACAAAAGCTTTTACGACCTTGCTAAGATTTACAAATCTGACAGAAATTGGTTCTATCGCGAAAACTTACCGATTTCAATGACACCGAATGAAGATGTGAAACAAATAGTTCAAGATACGTTACCTCAAACACACTATGATATTAAAGGTTGTACAATTCTTACCTTCAAAGAAGATTTGCCATTGTTAAAGGAAAAAATAACAGAGTATTTTGACAACTTCAAACAAGTAGGGTAGATGAACCATTTATTTTTCAAGCTTGACTTCAGATGGCTCAGGTAGCTCTATAAGGTCAATTGTCTTGTCAAATCCTTCTGGCATTCCGAGTCCTTCCTTCTGGCATTCCGAGTCCTTCCTTCCGACAGGAAAAAAATTTCCCGACAACTGGAAAAAAATTTCCCGACAACTGGAAAAATTTTTCCTGTTGTTCGTCCGTAAACCATTCAATTTTTCGAAAATTGAGAACTTTTTGGTCGAACTTCAGAAAAAGTTTTTCCTTCCGACAGAAAAAGTTTTTCCTTCCGACAGAAAAAGTTTTTCCTTCCGACAGAAAAAGTTCTTCCATCCGACAGGAAAAGTTCTTCCTTCCGACAGGACACAAACGAATGTCTCACGTCCCTCTTCCTGAATGCCTTCCCAAACCAGAAGAACCGACAGCCCCAGCACCACAACAGACTTACTAAGACTAAACACTTACATTTTTCAAGCTTGACTTTTTACAATTTGAACTTTGTTTGCGTAGATATGAATTCTGAAAGAAGTATGAGGGTCTTGTATGACTTTGTACTTCTCCCATAGTTCATGTCTGTCAAACTTACCTGCCATGGACTCTTTCATAAGTTCCATGAAATCGTCTTCGGACAATCCAGGGAAGAGTATAATGTCAGTAAGTATTCTTTTAACATCCTTACTTAAACTCTTTGCTGTCTGTACACATATTACGACTGAGATGTTAAAGTGTCTGAGCTTCTTAAGAATTCGACACATATCTTGTTCTCTGTTCTTTAACAAAGGATGAGAAGCAAAGTCATCTAAGATAAGAAGACATCTATGAGGGTACGTTTTCCAATCGTAAGATTGCAATTTCTTCGAAATGTATTCTATCTCTTTCTGTTTGTTTCTGAAGTGTTTCTTCTCTAATATTCTCTGCATTTCCTCATTTGGGTCTTTAAATTCGAATTTATATACTCATTTATAGCATTATACTTCAAAACTCTTCTTTGGTACTTCTTTATCCAATCTAACAACTCAGAGTCTTTTATACATACTAACTTAGACTTCTTTATAATATTTTTGAACGAATTGACGGTTTGGTCAAATTGACCAGAAGTACTACAAATGACAACTAACTCATAGAATGGGTTCTTCTCATCTAGTTCTTGTTGTTGTGCAGCCATTTTAAGATAAGTGAAAGTCTTACCCGACCCAGGTGGTGCAATTAGACCTGTTATACCATTCTGAGCAAATAAGAACTTGTCATGTATAGGTTTTATCTGAGCATTTTCTAACTTCCTCTTGTTCTTGTTTAAAACATTCTCAAATTTTTTGTCAATGTCAGCAAACTTTTTTTCTAACATATTTTTAGAAAAATTAAAATTTTTATCTTTTAGAAAATGTCTAGTGATTTCGCTATCTATATTCGAGACAAACTTTTCGACTCTAAAACATCTGTCGACCATAAAATCTTACATAGTGTAAACAAGAAAGGTGAATTTGTTCTAAAGTTCTGTTTCTGGGAATATGACAAGAACCATAAAACATTAGGCAGAGAAGTCTTTAAGTTTGTCAATGACAGACTTGTTGACAGAGATGACGCCGATTGGAAAGATGAAGTCCAACAAAAGTTCTTAGAATGCAAAGAAGACACATGCGCTGTTCTTGAAAATGAAATAGAAAACAGAATAGAAGAGCTATTAAATGACAAAGCACTTTTACAAAAATATGGTTGCGCCAAATTTGACATAACTCCACCAGAGAAGAAGAAGAAGAGAGAAAAGAAAGAAAAGAAAGTAGAAGAAGAGAAGAAAGAACCTGAACCAGAGAAAAAGAAATTTGACATGTAAAAATAAAATTTTATTTTTAGAACATTTCTGGGTCAATGTCAATGTTCTCTTCCTCTTTAGGAGCAAACACTGGCTTAGACTCTAAAATCTTTTTACCCAACTTACCTTGAACTTCAACTATCTTAGACTCATAATATTCATAGTCGTCTGTCTTCTTTGGTTCATAAGGTATAACAAGTTTGTATGCTTTACCTTCTTCGAGTTTTGAGAACTTTCTGTCAAAATTTTCTTTGACTGTCAACATACCGTCAATGTATAAGTCTTCAAAAGTTGCACCACTTTTTCTAACAACAGCAAACTTAACTGGTGCAATGTTCCAAATTTTGTCAAATGTAGACTTTTCAAAATTGTAGAAGTAAACATTCAAATATGCGAATGGAGCTAACTTATCTTTGACTTCTGTCATGTACTTATTTACTGAGATGAATTTCGTCATCTTTTCTATCGGATAAAAAAATATTTTTTTTAAAATTTACTCAGAAAAATTTTTCTTTGTATATACGCCGTTCTGAACATCTAAAAGATTTTTGACATTTGCCAAGAATGTTCGTTTAGACGCTGTCATATAACCATACTCTTGACAATATTGTTTATATTCATCGTACAATGACCTTTCATCTAAACACTCAAAGTCAGTTTCATCTATGAACAGTTCATATACACTCTTGTTTGCTTCTAACAATGTTTGTCTTTCTTCGGTATGTGGAATTTGTCTTGGATTGAACTTAGAAATATCTAATGTCATGAAATATGAGAACAAGTGGTTGTAAAAGTCAGATGTCAAGTTTCTGCTAAGTCGTCAAAATATTCTGTATCTTGCATATGAGAATCTGACGTTCTGACAACTACATATCTTCTGTCAGAACTTTCTAACTTCATCGAACAGCATTGTTTGAAACATAATGAAGTTTGCAAACATTTTCACAAACTCTTTGGTCTTTATATTTTTTTTAACAACTCCAACTTTGTCTGTTATAAGACTCTTCAAGCATCTGAGTTCAAAATTTTTGTTGTATCTATACTTTGAAGTTCATTGCAAACTATAAGTTTCATATTCTCAATTGAAGAGTTAAACTTGCCACAGATGTTTTCTAAGTTTGTCATATTCGGATTCGAATAACCTTCTAACAGTTTGCATAAGATATCTGTAAAGAAAGTATTCTTACCAGTTCCTTGTTTTCCAATTATAATGAGAGCAGTTTCATTTTTAGCACTTGGATGTTGTAAGATGTTTGCAAACCAACATAAGATATACTCATAAACCTTTTCGTTTCCATTGCATATAATTTCTTTGACATGGTCTAACCAAGCTTCTATAATATTTTCTTTCCATTCTACTTGTTCGTATTTATATCCAGTGAAGATAGAATAGAAGTTTTGGAGAAGGTGTATAAAATTATACCACGAACTGAAAAATCTTCAAGTTTTGACAATAAGATATCCCAAGCATCTAACATCTTCATTCCAACTTGTACAACTTTTATTTTCTTAAGTTTCTGTCTACATTCTTGTTCTGAAACTATGGTTGCTCTTGGTTTGTTAAAGACAACATCCCATTCTTTCATGACATAACATTCTGGGGCAGAGTCAACATAAATGACTAAACGTTTCAAATTCTCGACTGCTTTGTTATAGTCTCTAAATGGACACATATTTCTGAAGGCTTGGAAGTCATAAAAATCTGAAACATCTATTCTGTACATTTTTATAAAATAAAAATATTTTTTTTATTCTTGACTTTGTTGTTGCATTTGTTCATTTGTTTGCATTTGTTGTTCTTGAGCTATTTGTTGTTGAAGTTGTTCTTGTAGTACAATACTCTCACCAGTTGCATCTTCAATTCGAAACTTTCTGCCGTCATTGACAAATACATAGGACATAAAAGTTTTACAGGAACAAAGTTTGCGTCGACCTAAGGTTAAGTTTATGTTTGCTAAAGTGTTTGAGTTTACTAAAGCTGAAACTCTGCATTCGAATGAACAATAGGCAAACCAGCAGAGAATTGTTGTTTATACGCATGAGTATCTTTTGGTCATAGTAGTTTCTGTCAACATTTGAATAGCACTTTGAACCTAAGTTTGAAACATATATAAAATAGGTGTACTTAAAGTCAATGGAACAGACAAACCTTGTATGACACCTTTTCCTGTTATAGAAACTGTTGGTAGTAAAACCAGATATAAGTTTTGTATTATAGCTCATATCGTTTATACTAAACTCAGTCGGACATCCAAACATAATGAACCTGCTCTAGTTGCAGCACATGTTACATCCGTCCTTAAAGTATTAAATAAGTCAACAAACCTGTTGGTGGTATATCTGAGTAAGTATCTTCAAAGGAGTATTTTTTACCATTCACAACAATAAAATCTTCTGGTGTCAAAAGAGCAAAACAGCTTTAGTCGTCATCGTGTTTAAGGTCAGTTTACAATATCGTCCTTGAGGACTTTGTAAGTTTGTTGTTATAGAATTATATGACTCAGGGTTTTTAGTCGTAATAGTATAAACCACTATGTCTTCTGCCATTTACTTAGCAAGTAAATTTTAATGAAATGTTGTGGTCGTCAAATATTTTTTTATGACGTCTGGGAAACTATATTTTAAGTTCAACGTTTCACCTCCTTTCATAACGTATATCTTGTCAATGACATTATATGAAACACCACAGCAAGCAATGTCGGGTTCTATTTCTTTGATGTTTATATCGTCTGCCTCTGTCAAAAGTTTCAATAGTTCTTTCAAAATTTCATGAGGTGCGATGACATATGAGTTCACTTTGGGTTGTGCTCAACCAAGTTTAACATTATACCTAAAGCTTGACAAATCTTCTCCTGAGTTTTAAGTTTGTCTTTAAGTTGTTGGTAGTCGTTTCGAATATCTGCAACAGAACTTAAGTCTCTGCTAACTTCAGGATATGTTGGTTGTTCTTTTACAGGAACTATTGTTATACCATCTTCGTCTTCGTATGGTTTCCCCACTTCAACATCTCTTTCTTTGACATTGACAACACACTTTGACTGTTTGTTTGAGTTGGTGAATTTAACTTCACATCTGCCACCGCCATTAAACCTTTTTGAAACACTTACGCTTCTATTTTTCGGAAATGACATTTTACTTAGAATAAAAAGATGGACGTATTTGAGTATCTCTTCGAATTGAAGCAAAAACAGAGTTTACACACACAAACAATACAAATACATTGACAGAATAGTTCTTTATACAAACAATGGTAAATGTTATAGATAGCAGTCTTTGCTGAACCAAAATATTTTCATAAAGCAAAGAAAGTTGGTATAACCGAGATGGTGAAAGTTCTTGAAGCAGACAAAATATATAACAACAAAACTGACCGATATTTCTAAAGGTAAGTTTATAATACAATATTATATCAAAACTGGCGTACTGTCAATATTTGACGGAGAGAAGTCAGTTCAAGAACAACTTACTGACCTGCTGCCAAAATCTGCTCGATGGAAGCTGTCGTTATGCCAATCTGAGGAGCCCCAGCAGGTTTCATCGAACGAATCTTTCAAAAAGAGCATCTTCCGTGAAAAGTGCTATTGGTTTTGTAAACTTCTTTGCTTTCAATTCATCTGGACCGTCTCTGTCACCAGTATATTGTATTTGTACAGTACCAACAGTTGAAATACCACCCATAAAGTCTTCTGAGTCAGCAAATGGAATGCCAAGCCAAAAGTTTGAACGGTCTCCATTTGTATATTGAGTTTTTTGACCTCCTGTATGAGTCCATACTTTCACATATGGCATAATAGAACTTTGCATTTCAGGGTTAATGGTTGTTGTGAAGTTGTTGTTAAAGTTATAGCATCTAATGTCAAGTTGTATGACCTCATATCTCAACTGTAGAATATTCTTCTCTTGGATAATATTTGCCATCTATGTTTATATGATATTTAATACCGGGGTTGTAGAAACAAGAATAGTCATTTATAGTTCGTCTGAACAGTACAAACATAGTATCTGCATGTTTCATTGCAGTTGTTAAAGCAATATCTGTTCTTGCACCTGGGTCAGCACTTTGGTTTCCAACTTCACCTGCAAAGTCTTTGACAGATATTTGGTGTATAGGGAACATAAGTGGAACTGCAATATATTTGGCAGCTAAAGCATTTGAAATATCTGGGTCCAACATATAGACTGCAAGTCTGCTTTCTATTCTCTTGCATTCAAACTTTTACGCATGTGAACTTAACTGGGTCCCAAGCATCTCCAGCAGCATTGAAATAATAGTTTACTTCATTGTTGAAGTTTGAGAAACCAAAGTCTAAGTCAACTTTGTCTTTGCAAAAGTCACAGAACTTGGCTCCACCAGTTCCAGCTACAGTAATGCTGAATGGGTCTTGTGTTGGTGCAATGACTAAGTTATTTTTGCTTGAGTAAGTTCAATAGAAATTTTTCCTGCCAGTTTGGCAAGTATCTTAAAAACCTGAAGATGAGGAAAGATGACAAAGGAACTCTAAGTTTCAGTTTTACTTTAGTGGCAGCAGTTCCATCTGAACCAGAAAGGTTAACATAAACTCCTGGAACGTTAGGGTCAAGTCTTTTATTTTCTCAATAGTTGCATATTGGTCTGTTTGTTCTCTAGCTTGTGGTTGTACTGAGTTTCTCAAAGCGAACCATTCATAGTTTGCCCATGTTACTGTTTGAACTAAGTCAGAGTTAGAATATATCTTATATCCCATGAAAACTTCTGGAGCATATTGGTATCCGACATAGAAATTCCATTGCAACCTTTCTTGTCAGACAACTTGGCAGAAGGTTTTATTTCAATGTCTGTTCCACGTATAAGAATGAGTTGTCAATAGAAATAATATGAAACTGTCGCATGCAATATCTACTGTTGTTGAAGAACCTTCACCAAACTCACCTACATTTCCATAAGAAACAGCAGTTGTATATTCGTAAGTTCCAGGAACTATTTCTGACCTTTCTAATGGCATTGTCGCATTCGTTATACCATTCGGAAACATTTCCGTTCATGGCATCCAAAACTGTTGGCGTTATATTCTGAGCGGCGTACATTTCATATGAGTAAAAATATAGAATAGTTGGATTTATATGTCATAATAGAACCCACGTGGACCAAGCTTTACTTTCTTCCTGACTGAGTTTTTAACTCTTCTTTTTCCTTCATTGCCCTCTGCTTGAAGTTGTTGCATCTTTGCATTATGTTCATCTAGTATGTTGCAAATTTCCCATGTCCTTTTTGCCTTTTGGCTCTGGTCGCCCATCTCAGGTAACCTATATCTAGAAAGAGTTTGTCATAGTCTGTATTTGAGTCTTCGCGTATTGTTTGCATGACTCTTTCCTGAGTTTCCGGTTCAAGCTCTTCAAACAGTGCCTGTCCATATGGAATATGCTCGTTTCCAAATATATGTTTTGTAGCCATTCTGGTTTTCTTTCCATGTTACCAACTATATATTTTTGTGAATGGGAAGCTTTTACCCAATCTTTCAGTCTTGCGTCGTTTATTTTGTAGTTGGTTTTATTTTTGTCAAGGAACATGTTTTTCAATACTAACATTTCATTTGGTACTGTCCATTTGAGTTCTTAAATATTCATCCCTTCTCGGTTCATTGTCTGCAAAGTAAGTTTTTATGACATTTTGTAAACTTTCGTTTGCAAGGTCATGTACAATAGGTTCTCTTCCTTTCCCTCCCTAACTTTCTTTCTAAACTCTTCACCAAATATACCATCTCTATGGTTCTGTGTAGTTCTTTGAGATAAATGTTTTAGAACGTCAGGTGTTATATTTCCATCAGCCATGTTCATTTCATACTGGTCCAAAATATCTGCATGTTTCATATCTTTCAATGGCATTAAAGCCGCGCTGAAAATACCAGCTATATCTGGTTCACCATTCACTTCCATTGCGTCTACAACTTCTTGGAATTGTGGTTGTAAGTTATGAACCACCTATCCGGGTTAGCTTTATGACCCCATCTCATTGTAGTTCATCGTCTGCAGAAACAAAAGTAGGTTTGTTTCCATCTTGGTTAGGTTCTGAATGAACTTTAAACAATGTTTCATTTCTATATGTTTTCTTGAAATTTAACCTTTTATCTTCACCGAGTTCATCCGAAGATTGAACGTTAAATGCTCGTAAGTAAAAAGGGTTGTTGTATTTGTGTACATTTTTTTTCAGTTCTTCCATTCTATGCTGAATATTTTCATCTGGTGCTGGAGTCTTTTGTATGTCGGCAAACATTTTTTCGATATTCTTCTACTATGTCAGCCGAATTTTTTTTAGACTCTTGGAAATATTCATATTCTCCGCATACTCTTGTTGAGGGTCAAGATTTTTCGGCTGTTCCAAATCTTCATCTAGTTCTGTGAAGTTAGTTTCCAAAGAGTGACTTGTTCGTTTCCTTCAGGCTCTTCTAGCTGTTGTTGCTGAACTATTTTTCCATGTCTGGTTGTATCTGAACTATTTCTTCCTGTGGAGTTTCTTGTACCTCATCTGCTGGCATTTCATATATTCCGAGACCGTTTTTAACAATTTCCTATCTACGTCATCCGCATTCATAAGCTTTTGTTCTTTCGTTCCGTCTCTATTTTTTACGCGTTTCATGACGAAAGTTGAATTGTCATTTAGCTCTGACATCAAATATCTCGGAGTAAATTCATCCATGTCATTTGGATGATATGCTATTAAATCATATCCCTTAGCGAGCTTGTATTTTCCAGGTTTGAGATTATATCCGTTTTGGTGCTGAGCCATAAAGCTAAATAGGTTCGGGTCAGTATTTCCATCCTTGAACTTTCCAATAGCTTCTTTATATCTGTCACTAAAGTCAACAGTATCTGGAAACCACACTCTTCTTTAAGCATTTTTAAGAATTCTTGGTTTCCTTGTTCTCTACTTCTTTTATGTCCTTGCTCTGTTTGTGGTTGTTGTTGTGCAGGGTTTTGAACTGTTGGTTGCTGTGCTGGTTGTTGTGTTGGTTGCTGTGCTGGTTGTTGTGTTGGTTGTTGTTGTTGTGCTGGTTGTTGAACTGTTGGTTGTTGTGTTGGTTTTGGTGCATGCCTGTGTCTGTGTCCATGTGACGATGTAAATGTCATAGGTAGTCCTGGTGCAGGTGCTTCTCTTGGAGGGTTTGGTGGTATATAAGTTCCACCAGCTGGCACATATGTTCCATCTGCAGCATAATGTCCTACCTGACTTTTCGTTCTTAAGAAAGCATTTACTAGGTCTGTTTTGGTCTGTTGTAACTCTTTTTCTTGACTTTTCACAACAGTTGCTCTAACGGCGTCATAGGCACTTTGAACTGCCTGTCTCGTTGCTGCATCTGTTATTTTCGTCATATTTTGTGCTACTTCTCTTAACTCTTTGTCGAAACCTTCAGACTTCAGTTTCTTTCCAGATGAGAAGTCGTTCACTTGTTTCACCTTACTATGAAGAGCTTCGAAGGCGTTCTTAAAGTCAGCATTCGTTAAAGCTTCATTTGAACTGTCTTCATCCGCTTGTATTTTTGTCCTTATTGACCCTATAAGCTGGGCTGCTTTAGCGTTGGCTTGGGCATCTAACCAGTCATTGTTAGCTTTTATATACTCTGCGCTTTTCATTGCCTTTTGCATGGCTGCGTCGTTATTTTTACTTTCTTGTGCTAAGTTTTCATACTGTACGGTTTGGTTTTGCAACTGTAAAAGTTTTTCTGCCTTTACATTTGCTTCAACTTCTTTTTTATACTCATCGCTATCCATATATGTCTTCAGGGCTTTTTGTTTTATCTCTTCATCTTTCAGTATTTTATATTGAGTAGTATGGTTTTTCAAATTTATGACATCTTGTTCCATTTTTGCTACTTCTGTTGCTTTTTCTGACACTTTTTTCGCATATTCCTCTGTACTTAGTTCTTTCAGTTGTTCTTCTTTCTTCTTTTTCTCTACGTTTAACTCATTGAGTTTCTTTGTGTGTCTGTCATATTCTAGTTTCTTTTCGTTTTCACTTATTTGCTTCTGTATGTCTATGTTTGACTTTTTGACATCTGTTATTTGATTTTTGAGTGAACTCAAATTCATTTGACTTTGAGGGTTATAAGCTGTTCCGTCTGCAGCTCCACCATAGCCTGCCATTTTCGCTAAAAGTGCCGCTCTTAAACCTCCACTCTGTGCACCAATAACTCGGTTTAAAAGCATAGGGTTGCTTGACATTTGTTGCAACATAGTGGGGTCATTCATCATTTGTTGTTGCAACTGTTGTTGTGGTGTCAGTTTTACTATTGGATGTTTCAATGCTCCCTTCCTCTTACGTATATTCTTACGTAGCTTACGTGGCATTTTAAGTGAAGTTAAAAAGCGGTTTTTGACAGATGTTTATATGACACTTTTTGTTCAGCACAAAAAACTACTCGGTCAAAGTGTTGTAAGTTTTGTAAAATAACCGTCCTATCTCATTCTATAATGGAGAAAAGGCTTCTCAAAGTACTTCCTTGGAACGCCTGTAACTTTTCCTGTAGCGACGATAGACCCTTACTTGTCCGGACAAAGTTATACTATTTTGAGTGCTCTACAAAAAAGTCAACGGCTGGTCGGCTGGGGTTCAGTCCTCCTCTTGGGTCTTGGGCAAAATTTCTTAGGGGCTAGAAGGGGCGCAGCCCCTGGAAGCCCCACTACCCTTTTTTTTTTTTTTTTTTTTTTTTTTTTCAACTACATGAAACAGTAAATTGAGGAAAGAGTCAAAACTTTACATCAAAACTCTTTGAAAATTTTCTTCAAAGAATTTTTTGAAACGAATACGGTTTTTAATCAATCATCTACACACGCTTTCATTTAGTTCTTAAATACAAGATTTCGCAATTTTCTAAAAAGACGATGAAAGAAAAAAAGACGATGCAAAAATTTCAATGAATCTAAATTAATTGGCACTACGATAGTAGTATATTAAAATTATGCAATAATTCGGTAAAACCAGCGTCAAAACCGCTAAATTCATCGATTTTCACTTTAGATGAAGCATATCGCGCCAGCTGACAACTACACACGCATTTCTGCTCTCGATTCCACAATTGTTGATGTTCAGCACAAATTTGATCCAGACGAGGGAATTTGGATTGCAGATCTCAACAAAGTTCGCTATTCCACACAACTTTGGGAATCCTATCTTCCACGCGTTAAAGCTCATTACGCTGTTAAGTGCTGTGATGAGCCAAACATCCTCCGTTTCCTTGCTGACCGCGGTTTTGGATTCGATTGCGCTTCCAAGAAGGAATTACAGATGATCACAGAGCTCGGTGTCGATGCTAACAGAATTGTCTTCTCACATCCACTCAAGAATCACGAAGCTCTTGTTTACGCAAAGGAACTCGGTGTTGACAGAATGGCTTTCGACACAGAAGAGGAACTTCGTAAGATCCTGAGATACTACCCAGAAGCCGAAGTTTTCCTCCGTGTAAAGCCTAAATTTACAAACGCTAAGATCCCATTATCCAAGAAATTCGGTGCTGCACCAGAAGATGTTCCAAATCTTCTCCAGCTTGCACACGAACTTGGTGCTAACTTCATTGGCTTCTCATTCCACGTCGGATCCCTTTGTGATGACATCAATACATTCAGAACAGCTCTCCAATACGTTTCTGAGCTCAAGGTCAAGGCTGAAGAGCTCGGTCTCAATGTCTGCTTCATCGATATCGGTGGTGGCTTCCTTCCACCAAATGCTCCATGCAACAACTCCTTCAAGGAAATTACAGAGACAATCAATGCCGCCATCGATGAGTTCTTCGGCGAAAACGAGATCGAATTCATCGGTGAACCAGGCAGATTCTTCGCTTCCGAGTACATGGATCTCATCCTTCCAGTTATTGGCGCTAAGGTTCATGTTGACGGCCACGGCGAGAAGACACAAAGCATCTACATCCCAGATGGCATCTACGGTGCTTTCAATGCCCTCATTTACGACCACGCCGAACCACATTTCGAGATTCACACAGAAGGTGAGAGCGAAAAGCTTCCAACTACAATCTGGGGCCAAACGTGCGACTCAGCAGATATCGTCTACGAGGACATGATGTGGCCAGAACTCGAAGTCGGCGATTTGCTCATTATCAGAAGATTCTCTGCTTACACATATTCTCCAACAGCCTTCTTCAATGGCTTCCACCACCATCCAGTTGTCGTCTTGAACGCCAACGAGGAGGATATTTAAGAATCTTCAGATTTTTTTTAAATTATAGATTAAAGTAATCAACTGTTATAATATAGTTATTATTACCATTAATTACCTATTAGAATAGTTTAAATGTATTTCATATCTCAAATTTTTTGTTTATAAATCGACAAAATCATGGAATAATAATATTTTTAGTTGAAGTTTAGAGTATTTCAATGTGATTTTAAATGCTTCCGAGAGAATTGAATTTTTCAAAAAAATTTAACTACGGATTTAAAAGATTTCATAATTCAAAAGGTTACAAACTCAATGAGGATATCTAAGAATATAAAATGGTTTTAATAAACAAGAAAAAAAATAAAAATTTCTAAAATAAATCAGTTCTTTGGACTACTATTAACGCTGCTTTGACGTGATTCCTCATATTTCATGATGTCATCGCATAAACTTGCAACTTCATATGCAATTTCGTTGTAATCTTTCGAAGAAACTTCAATTCCGTATTTTTTGAATAAGTCTGAAAGATCAGCTGCAAGTTTTTCATCAATGAACTTAGATAAGTTCGGAGCTCGAGTTTTCAAAGGTGATAAATTGATATCTTCATCATCTTTAGGAGTATTTTGTATTGGTGGAGGAGAACGTTTGGACTTAGGACTTGGTGTCTTAAATTTTATTGTATTTACTGTAACTTTTGTTGAAATTGATTCATTATCTAAAGAGAAACTTGATAATTTTGAAATGGAATCATCTTCCTCTTCTTCGTATACTTTTTCAACATAGTTAACTGAATATTGACTGCATATTTCCTTTAATTCCTCTTCTTTAGGTGGAGGATAAACAATTTCCCAGCCTTGATTAATTAATTCTGCACAGCATGGGTTGTATTTGTTGGCTTGCAGTCTAATCTTATCTGAAATTGCTTTTCCATTTATGGAAACTATTATATCTCCGAAAAGTACTAATAAAGCTAGTCTAAAGTTCATTCTAGATGATAGTGGTGTATTCTTTATTTCTATTTTGATCGCGCAGTTACTTTTTAAAGATAAAAATCCTTTAAACGAGTCCAATCTTGTATTGTTGGCTGAAAAGATTCTGAGATTCGGTAATTTTGGGAGGCCTTCTATCGAAGATATTTTTGTATAAGAAATGTCAATCTCTTTAATTAACTTTGAAATTTGCTTAAGTTCAGCCCTGGAAAAATACTCACTTTTGAGCAGAGGTTCACCTTGCATTAGGAGTTTTCCAGTTTTTTTGGCATGCTTTATATGATTTAAAAACATCTCATTTGACATTATTTCAAAATGAAACGTCAACGAGCCAATTAGCAAATAATTCAAAAAGTTATCAAAATTATTATATAGCTCCAAGGCTTCTAATACATTTCATCTAATTTAGAATTTCAATTTGTCACTCACTTTGTCAATGATTCTAACTAATTCAACAATGGATTATCAACAAAGCGATAAACAAACGTTCTGCATGTTTCTCAAAATGGCTTCTATACACACTAATATTTGAAATTTAATTTATTCAACACTAAAAGCAGATGCTAAAAATAAGGATGATATAATAAATCTATAGTTATAGATATTATTGATGCAAGAAAAAATACCACAAAATGAAAGAATCGTAATTCGAATTCCACCAATGTTTTGATTTCCAATTCCACTTGATGTTCGTGAAAAATACAGAGGCATTTGTGAGTTTCCAGATATAATACTCGTTGAATAAAATTTATAATTCGAAGGATGAATCGGAGAATTTGTTTCAGAAGGAACATTACTGCCTTCACTTTGAAGGGTAATACATCCGGGGTGTCCTGATACAAACGAACTGCCACCACCACCAGATCCAGCATATCTTTGAGAGGCACCACTCCAATATCCATTACCTCCCAAACCCCCATAATCTTCATCCAAATTTCCGACAGGAACAAATCCAAAATCACCATTAATCCCAGAAAACACCCTCTCTTCCCATAAAAACTTATTATTAGTTGATGCTCGGCCTCCTGATTTCTGATTACCTCCATATGAATAAATATCATTACATATCGTTTCATCAAAATTACAATGAGTTTCCCCATTAGAGCCGACCAAACCTCCGTTGCCACCTTTCGAAAGAGGCCATTCTGCCCCACCACCACCTCCTGCAACCATGATCCTGGAGCGTAGTGATGCAATGTCATGCCATGAATTTCCTAATTTCAATCTCACGTCGGAGGAAGCACCTCCTAGTACCGAGCCTACTAGATTTTCCTTCACGTTATTAAAAAGAGTGTTTGCACCAATGAAAAGATAGAGTCTTAGATTTTTACTAATATTTATTATTCCTGAAGTGTATGAGCCTTGCCCAGGAATGGATGGAGGTGTATTTGGATTTTTTGCATCCTTCCATTTTGTTCCAACTGAACCCCAGGCTTCAAATTGAAAGACGCCTGGACTGAGATCAACATAATATGATGTACATTCGTATTCACTTAATGAACATGGATATCCAAATGTGTACTGATTAAATTCGTGTGTTACGTTAAGAGTACCAAGACTTTCATTATTGAGACCATATTTAATCATTGTATGAATGCATCATCATGATTGTTAATTAAAACAACAGAATTTCGTTGATTTTTGGACGACTTGAAAAATTACCAAGATTTTTTTATTCGACACTTTTCGATATTTTCAATAAAAATCGATCACGCCGATTCTCATAAAATTTCAATCCATTTTTTCCCATAATCGAAAAAAGGTGTTGAAAAATGTTTCGGTAGCATATATTTGCATTCGATAAAAACCTGACATTCATGTAAAATTTTCCGATAGAGATTACGATTATTTTGAGAATCACTTTCAAACTGATACATGAGAATTCTCATCATCAATGCACATCCAGATTATGCTAATGCAGAGCACTATAGCATTCAGTTATTGAACTACGCCAAGTCACTTTTACCGGATGCTGAAGTTCTTGAACTTTATAATAGTTACATTCCACGAATTGATACTGATATGTTTGCTGCATGGAATGGATCGACAGAAGAAAAGCCAGCAGCTGCCATCAAACGTCAGGGAGAGCTCGTAGATCAATTTTTAAATGCAGATGTCGTTCTTATTTTCTGCCCTCTCCATAACTTCGGCGTTACATCCGGTCTCAAAGATTACTTTGATAATATCATTATCGCAGGCAAGACATTTAAGTACGTAAGTGGCGGCGGTTCAGTTGGACTTCTCGATAACTCTAAAAAGATCGCATACATTCAAGCAGCTGGCAGTGATTACCTCCATGATATCAAGTATGTAAATCTTGATCTTGCACCACATTACGTTAGATCCATTTTCTCCTTGATGGGAATTACAAGAATTAACGTCATCAGAGCCGAAGGCTTAAGTCTCTCAGCTACCGATAAAAATGCCGTTATTGCAAAGGCAAAGGACGAGATTAAGCAAACTCTTGTCGAATATAAAGCTATATAATAATAAAATATTATTTGATAACTAAACAATGATAAGGAATAAATTAAATCATCCTTAGTAGATATAAATTAATATTATTTTCAGGATTTAAAAAATATATTAGATAAAATATATTTTAATGTTGCATGCTAAGATCAGTCATAATGTAAACCTCTCAATTTTATTGTCGTGGGAAGTATCTCAATTCCTTCAAAAAAATTGAAAAACTATTTAATTTTAAAAATATAATACTTTTAATTAGTTAATTAATTGGAGATATTTTTTAAAAATCACTTTTGATAATACTTTTGAGAACTTTAATTAAAAAAATATATTCAAAAATATCCAGATATCAAGAGGGAATTGTTCCTTATGAGGTATATAGTTATGATGTATACCTCATAAGGAACAATTCCCTCCTTAAAATGAGAAAACTTGTTCGAAATTGTTTATCATTTCGAACAAGTTTTCTCGTTTTTAATAAGAAACTAAAGGCTATGAGGCACTGATTATATATTAGTGCCTCACAGCCTTTAGTTTCTAATAGATAGCTGGGAAACTTTCTCCAAATGATAAGTTATTCAGAGAAAGTTTCCCAGCTATCAAGAGGGAATTGTTCCTTATGAGGTATATAGTTATGATGTATACCTCATAAGGAACAATTTCCTCCTTAAAATCGTAGACATTTTTATACTTATTAATCAACCATTCAAAATCATATTCCTCTGAAAAGTTATTTTATTAAAAATTTAGAATTTTAATAAATATAGAGTTTGAATTTCATACAATACCTATATATTTTCAATAATGGAATTTGAAAACCATTCTCAAAAGTTCTCAGAAAACCTTTTTTCATTAATTTTAAGAAATCTGAGTATTAAATTAAGTGATAAATTCGTTTGACACTACTTTAATTTTTAAATTCAAAAAATTATATGTGCTTCTTAAAATGACTCAAAAAAATTTTATTATAAAATAATATATAATATTAAAAATCCCACAACATTTTTTTACTTTACATAATCGTACTTCCTCGACGATTAATTTCCACACAATTTCTATCGTTGACCGAACTTAGCATGCAACATTAATGAGAGAAGTTTCGAAATGTCACCAATATAAATTTATTCTTTTGATGAAAAATGTTGAGAAATTGTGGAATGTCATTAATTTTTGGGTTATAAAATGAAGATTGTTTTTTATTGAAACTTGATTTCATAATCTCCACTTCTTCCTTTCAAAATTTTCAAGGATTGAAATGTTTTCACGCAAAGAATATGATTTTTCTAGGAAGTCACAAACAAATCGGAGATTTAAGACAGAGAAAAATATTCATGAATTTTTCAAAATAAATACATAATAAATATTTATAAAAACATAAAATTATTCCCAGTTTTCTTCTTCATCACTTGTATCTTCCTCTTCGGAATGACTGTCATGATTATCTTCATCCTCTGGATCTTGATTGCCATCATCCTCATCTTCCTCATCATCATCTTCCTCGTCCTCTTCATAATCTTCTTCTTCGAATGAATCGGAGTCATCATTTTGATGAATTTTCTGATCAAATATACTATCGGATTCAATGTTATCATAAATGAAATTAGGCTTCTTGGTTTTAAATTTTCTTGCTATGAGCATCAAATCAGTGACTTTTCCTTCTTTGTCTGGAATTGAGAAAATACAGTTTGAAATAAATATATGTGAAACGGTTTCTCTCAATTTATCTGGTATCGTCATGTTGATACCAATATCAACGAAGTTATCGATGACTTGATCTCCACCGATACTATGGAAATTATCTGAAGAAATATAATCTTTCAGTGAAGAATACCTGTAGAATCCATATGCAATGAAAGAGTCTTTGGCTAAATCAGTAATTTCACCTTTGATTTCTGGATCTTTGAATTCATTGTCTTGAACGTATCGACCAAGTTCTGTAACTTCGTTGATGTTAAATGTTCCTTGCGTGCTGTTGTAGAAGTTGATGTATGAAAGTTCTAAACAAGGAGAACAAACACGTGGATTGTACTCGAAGTAAAGCAATCGGTTGAAAATATACAATCTTGGAGAGATAAACCAAGAAAGTTCAAAGAAAGGTATGAAATTGCAGTACAAAAAAACAAAATGATATGCAGCTGTTGCGACTTTTTCATCAAACTTGACGCAGTTGAAATGATCCAAAACAATCTGCTTTGCTTCTGATAATTTTGCTGGATCATTATCTCCTTTGTAGTAAAAATTATTTCGTGGATCATGAATATAAAGCTTTCCTTCGTTTTCTGTGAAATCATCAAAACAGAAGTAATTTTCACCTTCGATTTCGACTTCGATATCTTCTTCTTCTTCCCCAGATTCATCCGGTGGCTTGTTGTTTTGCACTGCACGAACAAAACCACTCATTTCTAAGATGAATTTATCTGGAAGTTTAGTAATTCCGTATTTGAAATAGATAAATGGATTAAGAAGACAGTTACATAAAACGGTAAGTGCCGTATCACGATTTGATTTCAAAATTTGTTCGGAAAATGTCGAAAATCTTGCGTCGTAACAACCCAATCTCAACAAAATAATGTAAAGACATGTCTTGATTTCAGAGTTGTATCGATCAATGTTAGAAGTAAATGGTTCGTAAACCAACAAAATATCAGGAGTAACTCTTTCAAATGTACGCAAAATCCAGTGAACTAAATTAGAACTAAATGGAATTCGTTCGTATAATTCTAAAATAGGGACAATAACTTCACGAATTGTCATCTCTGGTTGGACTTCGCATAAATGATTAATGAAACAAATAGATGCACGTAACTTCTTACCAAAGCCATCGCGATCATCACTTGAAAAACTAAATGGCAACAGTTTTCCAAAACCAAAAACTTTTCTCTTACGATTGATATAGAAACTGCTTCTATTAGTGAAGAGGAAATTAGGCTGTAAGAAATGAAGTTCTGTTGTGTAATCTGAGATTGTTGCTTTAGAAACAACATCAGAAGGAAGAATAAACAAGCCATCAATTTCTCTTGTGATGTCTTCATAAATATTTGGTAAAACAATTGAGTTGCATTTAGATAATTCTTCTGCAACATTGACTCGTAATGTATGAACAGAGAAATCAATAATCGATTTACAAATATCTTTAGACATGAATGATTTTGTTAAATGTTCTGAGAAACTGTAATCTGTTTTCGAAATAAACATATCATTACGAACATTGATACAAATGATTTCAATCATTTGTTGAACAAAATATGTGGGAGATGTAAAATCTGGCAATTCTCGATCGTATTTCTTCCTTTGCAATATACTTTTATTGAGCAAGCTGTTATAATGATTCATTGATATTTCCATAATTGCCCTTGACATTGACTCAGACTTTGTCGAATCAAAATAAACTCTGTGGTATTCTGGTCTACAAAATGCCAATTCTTTGTACATTGAATTGAGAAATGTATCATTGAAAAGACCAAAGAAGTATTTGTCGTCTAAATATGAGTGAATAGAATTCAGTCTGGCATCAAATGTAGAAACAGTCATTGAATCAGTATTTGTGATTGTGACTGTTTGGCCTGTTGCTGTTCCTGATGTAAACTGAAGAGCTGTTGGAGTGTCAACTGGATTGACAAAACATGGATATTCATAACCATATTTGAAATCACATTTTTGCCGGTAAACAAATCGATCACTCATGTAAGAAGCATCAAGGTCGAATTCATAGAATGATTCTGAAAAAGTGACTTTGCATTCGTTACCAATTTCATTTTCAACATCTTCTTTTTCATCAAAATATTCGTATTTTAAGTCAAATTCAAGCTTTGTTTCTAATGAATGATCAAACAAACCTAAAACAACTTCTTGTATCTTTGGAATTTGATATTTAGTGGTTTGTTCATGAGGTGAAGTGATAATTAATAAAGTATCGTTTGTACGTTTATAAAACCTTAAAATTATCTTATTATTAGTATCACTTTTCTTCACTTTTTCTTTCAAAATTGTTACATCGAATGAAAAGTTTGGCGCCAAGCCAATTTCGATTGAATTTTCCATTTCCTCGTCCTTCAGTTCTTGCTCTTGATTGAGAGGATATGTAACTGTTATTTGACACTTTTCATGTGTCAAATCAATATAAGGAAGGAATTTAATTCCTTGATAAGAAATAAACGGTCTAAAGTATTTTTCTACTTTGATATCTGTATTAGTGTTATATTCATAATCATCAGGTGGCTGTAATGTTTCAGCAAATGTGTCAACGCGTAGAAATATGTGATGAATATAATCTGATTTTGCTCCGGCCAAAACAAAGTAAACTTTTCCATCTGGATTTTCAAATGGATAATAATTTAATATTTCTCCTTTCGCATTCGTAGCTACTATTTCATGTCGAGTAACAAGGAAACGCGTTTCTTGCTTGATATATTCAATAAATATCAAGTTTGACCTGTAATAAATACCAACATCTACTTCACCCTTAGTTGCTAGATTGTTCAGTGGACAGGAAATCATCTTATATTTAAGGCCTTCTTCATTTGATATTTGGTGAGTTATATCAATGTAATTGTCTAATTCTTCAGTAATTAAGATATACGGATCTAATGGGGGTTCATAAATACTAGGCATTCGACCTTCTTTGATATAATTTTCAAGTTTTTCTTGAAGTTCTGGTATCTGGAAATCAACCGCATTCAGGAGATCGAAGTATAAATTTATACAAATTTCAGGTTCAATTTGGAATTTTTGAAAATGTTGAGAAAATTTCTTTGGTATTTTTGGAATTTCTTTCTTTTTAGGAAGTAATGATTCCCCTGTCATGAAATTCATAGAAGGAATGGAGAAAACAGCACCTTTGTAATCAAATGAAAGAAATGTCGGTGAAATTGCAATTAATTTAACTTCTTTTCCATTAATTTCAAATTTATCCCCAACAATTGCTGGCATTGATACTGTAGACAATACTAATAACTTGCTAAAAGTATTTATGGACTTGTTATCTAACACTTCATCAAAGTTTTGGTAAGTTAATAAATACAAAATTCTGGCGATTTGATGGGCATATCGATGTGACCAATCAAATACAGATTTGTTTTGTTGCTGATGAGTTTCAGCGTTGTAAGCAATACATAGTGTTTGAATTGCTTGTTGGATTTTACCTCCTAATGCCCATTTAGCATTTGTGTCTTCAATAATAGTTCTCAATGAAATAATAAGTGGTGGGATGTCGAAATCTAATGTCTTCATTGTAATATTAGAGATTAATTCATCTTTATTTGGCAAATTCCAATGAAATCTAGTTAATGTTGCCAGAATAAGCTGAGCAAGGGATCCAATTTGGTTGGATGGCTGGAACTGGAGATTGAGATATTCATTGATTAAATCATTTGCAAACTGATCTGAATAATTAAATTTTCCAATTTTAGAGCGGAAATGAGAAAGAAAGGATTGAAATTGAAGGATAGTATGAGTAGAATAATCAGCATGGATTATTGTATTTAAGAAAGCTTGTTGGTCATCAATTGTTAATTTTGGTAAAACAAAGTTAATCAAATCAAATGAATACAACGATGATTCATATGATGAAAAATTCTCTTGTTTTATATGTATTTCTTTTGGTATTTCCATTTGTGGATATAATTGTGCCAGAAAATCAAAGAAATATTGATTATAATAGTTATTCTGAAGTAAATATTTGAAAATATCCTCTGATTCTTTCTTAATTGCTTTGTAAAACAATTTATCAAAAATAATATCTTTCAACATATGAAAACAAGCATAATCTCCAAGAGTATCTATTGTTATGTTCTGTGAAACTGTTAGAGGTTCCGAACCATCAGAATTATCTTGGAAAATTCTTAATAATTGACCAAAATACTTTCTTTGATGATTATGAACTCTGTAATAATTTTTAATTTGTGTATCGCAGTAAAATTCATCAGAATTATCGAGCTTGAAAGTTCCATTACAATATGAAAGATAATTCGTCTGATCAATTATTCCAACATCTTTAAATGATGGATTAAAATAGTCTTTCATTGTCTTATTAACATATGTAAACAAAGAAGACTCAAAAACTTCTGTATATTTCAAATTCGTCAAAATCAAATCAAAAACTCGAGGATCGAAATCAGAATTAATAAAATTTCCAACAGTTGCAGAAACAAATTCTATATAATTATAAGGAATAGTAGGTTCTGTTTTAAGAAGTGGTAAGATTGGATCAAATTTGAAACCATCCGTATTACACATTTTCATAAAAACAATCATTAGAATTGTATCATCATCATTGCGGAACTTACTTGCTTCCAACATTATATCAAACTTCTTTTCAATAATCTGTTGAATTAAATCTAATTTGTTTTTAGTCCAAAGATCTTCTGCTAAACTAACAGCTTTAATAAAAGTATTTTTGTTTGCAACAGATAAAAGTAATTCTTGTGATTTCGATGCAATTATAGCTGCACTAAATGGAGATATTTCTTCAATTTTCTTAAAAGAAGCGGCATCAATTTGCGAAAGAAGTTTTGCATGATTACTAGGAATGGATGAAAGTAACGCTGCGATATAAACAACACATTTTTCGTATTTTTGTATATTATAAATTTTTGATAATAATTCAATGAGTAATTGGTAGAAATTCGCTGGTTTATTACCAGGAGAACTTAAAAGTTCAGATACAAAGAAATGAAGAACTTTGTGAATGAAATCTGTTTCGTTCGGTGATTCATGAAATTCAGGATTGAATTTGTTCAAATTTAAATCAGGAAGAGGTAGATAAATGTAGCTCTTTGTAATAATAGATAATTGCATTGTAAAAGGATCACATAAGGTGATAAAATCAGATATATCATCCAAATGAATTTTTTTGGGATCAAGATCCAGAAAAGCATAACTTGTTATTATTGATTCCGATGAAGGAGGCTTAATTAGATGCATGACAGTTGATGTGGGACTTTTTGTTGATGTATATTTGTTGTTTTCTTGAAATGTCAAAATTTCGGTTTCATCATCTTCATCACCAACGACAAAAAGCTTGTTCATGTATCCATAGATCTTGCCTGATATAGATTGGTTGATTTCTGTGAGAGGTTGTAAGTTATCGTAAGAAATTAAAATAAAGTTTGTTGTTGATCGGCGAGAAACTACCAAACCACACGTAATTGCACAAAGAGTATCTATATCTGTGAAATCTTTGTTTATACAAACAATATGGCCGGGGTTAATCGTGGAAATTTTTTGAAGTCCAAATTCCGAAGACATATAAATGTAAAGATTGGCAACAGCGAAGCAACTTGATTTGCTTATTTTAAGGGGTGGAGCGAACGAATAGTATGGCTGACGAACAAATTTTAGCCCTTCATTTTTATCAGAAAATTCATCATTAACGCTTATAGGGATTTGTGAATTGCGTGTAATGTATTCTATGATAAACATTAATATATGAGTTTGATCTTCAGAAAAAAGTAATTGTTTGAAAAAATTCGGAATTACAGTAGATGAATTAGCACTTTGGAAAGATCGAGATACAATCTGCTTCATTATGATTAAATTTACATCTATATTTGGGTTTTCGCTTGAATTAGACTTTAAAATCGGTAATTCTTGAATTTGTTTGAATGCATCAGATTTTTCTGTTGCCATTTGATCTCGTATAACAGGAAATATGACTTTTTCCATAAGAACAGAGTCTGAATCACCATCTTTTCTGATTGATGATTGTTCATTTTCTTCATTTTCTAATTCTTCCGAGTTGAAATCAGAGTCAGAATCTTTTTGATTTAAGCTTATACAATCAATTGTTGTCGACATTTCATTTAACGAATAATTTCGCTTTTGATCAACACGTGAGTAAATATAGCCACGGGGCGCATGTGAATATAAGATCAATTGCTTTTGTGAGTTTTTCAAGTAGCATGGAAATGAACCAACTCCAATTCCATTATTATCATCCATTGATAAAACAAAAAATTCAAAATAAAAAAAATTCAATAGTTTCAAAATCTCCGGCCCAAGTCTTCAAACAACAAGTGTCATATAACCTACATGTAACTATGCATCTAATGCAATATTCATTATTGCTTTATATCAGATGTTTATATCTAGTTGCGCATATTACGTAACACAAGTAAAAATGAAGATTCAACTCTTCTAAACAAAACATCATTTAATTTCATCATACCAATTGAAACAATGATATAATGTGTTCTTTTAAAACTTAAGAAAGAACCTCCTGAGTTAGGTATATATGGCGAAAAAAGCTGTTTGTATAAATTTCAAAAGTTGTCAAATAACGATTATTTTCAATTGAAAGTTAAACAGATAGAAGAAAATATTCAGAATATTTTAGTCACTTTTTGAGAGAAAATCGATAATGAAAAAAATGGAAAATATATATTTCAATAGTTGCCTTATCTATAAGCCCGTAAAAAGTGCTACATCTATTAGTTTATTAGGAAAATACTTAATACAAATGATAGAAGATTTATATGAAAATAGTTATATTGTGTACATACACAAGAACATGATAATAAAGTTATCCTTATGGCACCATCTCCAAAATGTCCTTCTTCTGGAATATATTTTGGACTTAAAAAATTTGTATTTCCATTATACATTTTACTATCATAAAAAATAGGGTTGTTAAAAATATCAAAAATTAGCGTTTTGAAGACACCATGGTGTCTTATAATTTTTCCTTCCTTATTGGCGTGTAGAAATAAATGCGCCAATAGATTGAAGAAGAAGAAATGTTTTTCTCTTAATGAACTTTAAGCAAAACGGCTGTTTCAGTCATTAATTCTTAAAAATAAAAAGGGTAAAAACTAAATACAATGGGTAAAATTCAATAGTGTCTGTGCTATCGTTCAATTTGAAGGTGTCTTTTGAAACCGCAAGACACATTGAATTTTTGAATAGTGTATTATGGTTTGACAGACACCAATGAAAAAAATAAAATGATATTTATTTTAAATATATAAGATCCTTATATAAAATATAAATATTTTATCGTTTTATTTTCTTGTTTTCGAAATGTTTTTTATTGAAAAATCAATAAAACTAACTCCAAAATAAAATTTTTGATTTAAAGACACTATGATGACACCAGGCAAATCTTCCAAGACACCTATCGTCGGGAATCTAACAACCCTATAAAAAACAATTCCTGAGTAATGGTGAGAATTGTTCGTGTGTTTTCCATTTTCATCTACTGAATTACATCCTTCGAATCCGCTAATATAACTTGAACCACTGGATGAAACCGTTAAAAAATAATCTTGACCTGTACTATATTGGCCCGTCTTTCCTCCATAATAACCACAACCTGCTCCTGATGTAGGAGTATATGTATTATTAATTCCAATCTCGCCCTTTCCAAGAGAAAATCCATTAGTTTGATCTGTGTCAGATTTTGCAAAAATTTTAGATTGATAGCCAATGACTTTATATCCAGTTAAATTTCCACCAGGAGCACCGAATGTTTCCCATCCGGATCCAGATCCTCCTGCTGCAACAATGATTCTACTGTAAAGAGATTTTTCCGAAGATCCGTTGATTAATCTTATGTCAGTGGCTCCGCCACCACCTCCTGATGGATCATTGTCTTCATCATATCCTGAGTCACTTCCTCCGTTGAATCCGCCTTTACCATTAAAATTTTGTGAACAATATTCAGGATCTTTTCCTCTTCCGCCAATATACAGATAAATAGTTTGGGATCTATTAAATTTTACTTTACCTAATACATATGCACCTGGGCCTCCGTAATAATTTGTTTTTTTCACACCTTCTGTACAACCTTGACCACCTTGTGCACCCCAAAGTTCAAAGAGATATGCACCACTTAGTAAATGAATTTCATAGATATGTTTTTCATCACTATAATGACATAGAGTCAGTTAATTATTAATCAAGAAAAACAATCACGATGCATGATTAAGGAAATACTTACGCCCATCCGAATTTAATTCAAATTTATGACAACAGGCGTGAAGCATCCTTAAAGATTAAAATCAAACAACAGAAATGAAGGTATTGTCATAACGGCTTAGTTGCACACTTAAAATTTATCTCCCATTGTTAGCTTTATAATATATACTTTTATAGAATGATTTAGTTTGAGAAGAAACTTTAGTAAAAATAAAATTTCTTATATTGCAGTAAAGGATTTTTTTGAGAATACACTATAGATTTTCAATATCCTTTTTATGAAGATGGTAAACATAGGAATGTTTTGAATTTTTTATAAAATTGAGATGACTGTGAAAAGTGTAATTTTTTATATGTAATATTGCACTTTTGCATTCAATTTTGTGAGGAAATTGAAAATATGGTTAGGTGCGCATATGCTTTCAGATTAAATCCTCTAAGTATATGTCTATTAATTGCAGACAATAGTTTTATTATATTTCGAAAATCGGAACATCATCATTTGTTAATGCCTGAAATAATATTCTTTAATGATAGAGAAACAGAAATATCCATTTAAATAACTACTATAATATTATTTAATATTAAAATTATTAATTCGATTTTTTTTAATTTTAAAAATATAACATATATCAAATATTAATAAGATTATTTGCATATTTTAAAGTTTTATACAGTAAAATTAATCTGGCAATCATTCCTAAAAAATATCCAAAAATTTGACAAGTGAACTTATCAAAGTTGAATTTGTTTTTCGGCCAGAAGAACGTCAAAACCAACTTGTGTTATGACTTTGATCATTCGTTTCGAGACATTTATTACTCCCTTTATGTTTTGACTCACTTTGATTTTAAATATTAAATTCAAACTCTAATTCAATTTCAAATTAAAAAAAAATTCAGTCATATTTAATTTTCAATTCAGTTTTTGACTTTACATTTTATTTCCGAAAATGGGTTACGATGAAGACATTGCATACGTGAAGAGTTCAATGAACTTTCTAACAAACGCAATCATTGTATTCTTTTGCATTAATTTATAGTTAGTATGGTTAAGTTGGGTATGGTGGCACTGCGTTTTCACTTTATCCAATACTTGTGAATTTGACACTTTACAAAACCGTTAACGTAAATTTTACAACACAAACGACAACACTAATTTAACCTTAAATATTTACAAAACCGTTAACGTAAATTTTACAACACAAACGACAACACTAATTTAACCTTAAATATTTACAAAACCGTTAACGTAAATTTTACAACACAAACGACAACACTAATTTAACCTTAAATATTTACAAAACCGTTAACGTAAATTTTACAACACAAACGACAACACTAATTTAACCTTAAATATTTACAAAGCCGCCAACCACTTCACTAACGAACTCACTAATGTAAAAATAAACGAACTCACTATCGTTCTCACTAACAACTTCACTAATGTTCTCATAAATTTTCCTCAATATCTTCATCATCAGTGTTAACCCTATTGTAGTCATACTTGAAGCCATAAACTTTCTCTAACTTCTTAACGTACAATTTACATAACTTACCTTCGTCATCGTATGGTTTAATGATATAACTATTTCTATCTTTATAAACAGTCAATGAAAAGTCAACTGGTCTCGGATGTATTTGAAAGAACATGTTATGCTCAGGAAGGAAGAATAAATGTTTAAATGTATGTTTGTTATATGTTTTGATTTGTATGAGTTGCTTTTGTTCTGTCATTTATAAAAAAAAACTTAAAAATAAATGATATCACCACCCGCACACGTATGAAAACATAGCACAAAAATAATGTTTATGTTAGAATGTTAGATCTAACACGTTTTCTAACCTCTTTTCTAACCTGTTGAATTCATTGCTTTATTCCTCACTGTCGTCTGCTTTCTCCAACTCTTCTAGCTTCTTCTTAAGTTCAGCAATGTTGTCCTCATGAAGTTTAATCTTTCTCAAAATTCCTTCTTTATCTAATGGTTGCTTTATCTTTCTAAACTGAACTCTACCATCCTTCATAGTATGAATGTAAAAACCTTCTGGAATAATTCCTGATTTAATGTATTCTACCAAAAACTTTTGTTTCATTGCTTCAGTGACTTTAGTCGTCATTTCAATCAAAGGTGAAGCTAGCACAGCGATAATGGATTTCATGACTTTTAGTATTTCATGCAATCTTAACAGATAGCCTTACAAGTACTTCCAGTGTCCCTAGCTGTCCCTCCTTTTTATATAACTCCATGACATTTATAATCTCGCGAAACTTAACAGGTAGCATAACAGATTAAAATCAGATGAGGTTTTGAACCAAAATTTCTAAGCAACGTTGTCAAGGATTTTGAGGAACTAGGGACAGAGTGTGGCAAAGTCCAAGATTTAATTTATCTTCATCTGTTTCATCAGCTATCTCATCTAATATGCCAATATTTTATTCATAACTCGTGGCAAACTCACTAACTTTCATTATGTTCATCTGCATGCTTCATCTGATAGAAAGTATGACTTTCATTAACTCTGTGAGATAATGAAAACTACTAGGACAGAGACCATGGCAAAGTTCATGACTTTCATTATTTCCAGAACTTAATGAAAACTACTAGGGACAGAGACCATGGCAAAGTTCATGATTTAATTTATTCTCTCACTAACAACAAACACAAACTCCAACACTAACATCAAGTACTAACTTCAGCACAAATGACAAACACTAACAACAAGTACAAACTCCAACACTAACATCAAGTACTAACTTCAGCACAAATGACAAACACTAACAACAAGTACAAACTCCAACACTAACATCAAGTACTAACTTCAGCACAAATGACAAACACTAACAACAAACACAAACTCCAACACTAACATCAAGTACTAACTTCAGCACAAATGACAAACACTAACAACAAACACAAACTCCAACACTAACATCAAGTACTAACTTCAGCACAAATGACAAACACTAACAACAAACACAAACTCCAACACTAACGCCAACACGTAGGACAAACATTCATGACTAACATTACTGTATAACATAAATGTTTTGTCATGACTTCTTCGTAAATGTTTTGTCATGACTTCATCGTACATGTTTTGTCATGACTTCTTCCCTCGGTTTTCAGAGGGAAGCAATCATATGAGGAAATTCTTCTAAAAGTTCTTTTGAACGTAAATGTTTTGTCATGACTTCCTCATCGTAAATGAATTGTCAAGACTTCTTCGTAAATGTTTTGTCATGATTTCATCGTATATGCTTTGTCAAAACTTCTTCGTATATGTTTTGTCATGACTTCTTCGTAAATGTTTTGTCATGACTTCATCGTAATGAACGTATATGTTTTGTCATGATTTCATCGTAATGAACGTAAATGTTTTGTCATGACTTCATCGTAAATGTTTTGTCATAACTTCCTCATCGTAAATGAATGTGTCATAACTTCCTCATCGTAAATGAACGTAAATGCTTTGTCAAACATGAGCGTAAATGAATTGTCATAACTTCCTCATCGTAAATGAATGTGTCATAACTTCCTCATCGTAAATGAACGTAAATGCTTTGTCAAACATGAGCGTAAATGAATTGTCATAACTTCCTCATCGTAAATGAATGTGTCATAACTTCCTCATCGTAAATGAACGTAAATGCTTTGTCAAACATGAGCGTAAATGAATTGTCATAACTTCCTCATCGTAAATGAATGTGTCATAACTTCCTCATCGTAAATGAACGTAAATGCTTTGTCAAACATGAGCGTAAATGAATTGTCATAACTTCCTCATCGTAATGAACGTAAATGATTTGTCAAACATGAACGTAAATGAATTTTCATGACTTCCTCATCGTAATGAGTGTAAATGAATGTGTCAAAACTTCCTCATCGTAATGAACGTAAATGAATGTGTCAAACATGAACGTAAATGAATGTGTCAAACATGAACGTAAATGAATGTGTCAAACATGAACGTAAATGTTTTGTCATAACTTCCTCATCGTAATGAACGTAAATGAATGTGTCAAAACTTCCTCATCGTAATGAACGTAAATGTTTTGTCATAACTTCCTCATCGTAATGAGTGTAAATGAATGTGTCAAACATGAACGTAAATGAATGTGTCAAAACTTCCTCATCGTAATGAGTGTAAATGAATGTGTCAAAACTTCCTCATCGTAATGAACGTAAATGAATGTGTCAAAACTTCCTCATCGTAAATGAATGTGTCAAACATGAACGTAAATGAATGTGTCAAAACTTCCTCATCGTAAATGAATGTGTCAAACATGAACGTAAATGAATGTGTCATAACTTCCTCATCGTAAATGAACGTAAATGAATGTGTCAAAACTTCCTCATCGTAATGAACGTAAATGAATGTGTCAAAACTTCCTCATCGTAAATGAGCGTAAATGATCCAAAAATAATGTTTAGGGTAGATGGTTAGATCTCACCTCTTTTCTCACATGTTTTCTCACCTCAGCTGCTAAGCGGCGAGACCCAAAGGGTCTTGAATTTTCATGACTTCCTCATCGTAATGAGTGTAAATGATTTGTCAAACATGAACGTAAATGATCCAAAATAATGTTTATGTTAGAATGTTAGATCTCACCTCTTTTCTCACATGTTTTCTCACCTCAGCTGCTAAGCGGCGAGACCCAAAGGGTCTTGAATTTTCATGACTTCCTCATCGTAATGAGTGTAAATGATTTGTCAAACATGAACGTAAATGATCCAAAATAATGTTTATGTTAGAATGTTAGATCTAACACCTTTTCTAACATGTTTTCTACCCTCTTGAATTGTCATGACTTCCTCATCGTAATGAGTGTAAATGATTTGTCAAACATGAACGTAAATGAATTGTCAAACATGAACGTAAATGTTTTGTCGAAACTTCTTCATCGTATATGCTTTGTCAAACATGAACGTAAATGAATTGTCAAACATGAACGTATATGTTTTGTCGAAACTTCTTCATCGTATATGCTTTGTCAAACATGAACGTAAATGTTTTGTCATAACTTCTTCATCGTAATGAGTGTAAATGTTTTGTCGAAACTTCATCGTAAATGACTTTGTCATAACTTCCTCATCGTAAATGAACGTAAATGATCCAAAATAATGTTTATGTTAGAATGTTAGATCTAACACATTTTCTAACATGTTTTCTCACCTCAGCTGCTAAGCGGCGAGACCCAAAGGGTCTTGAATTTTCATGACTTCTTCATCGTAATGAGCGTATATGTTTTGTTGAAACTTCATCGTAATGAGCGTAAATGTTTTGTCATGATTTCTTCATCGTTAATGCTTTGTCAAACATGAACATAAATGAATTTTCATGATTTCTTCATCGTTAATGCTTTGTCAAACATGAACATAAATGAATTTTCATGACTTCTTCATCGTTAATGCTATGTCAAACATGAACGTAAATGAATTTTCATGACTTCTTCATCGTTAATGCTTTGTCAAACATGAACATAAATGAATTTTCATGACTTCTTCATCGTAATGAGCGTAAATGAATGTGTCGAACATAAACGTTAATGGTTTCGGGTTATTCAATAATTAATTATTTTTTGAATAACCGAAGGTGCTACCATGTTACCATGTGCTACCAGGTCATTTAACTTCTATGAAAAAATGAGACAACATGACATTTAGACAACAACATAGGAAATAAATGTTTACGTTAATGATTTGTCAAACATGAACGTAAATGACTTTGTCAAGACTTCTTCATCGTAATGAGTGTAAATGATTTGTCAAACATGAACGTAAATGACTTTGTCAAACATGAGTGTAAATGACTTTGTCGAACATGAGTGTAAATGATTTGTCGAACATGAGTGTAAATGACTTTGTCATGATTTCATCGTATATGCTTTGTCAAACATGAACGTAAATGACTTTGTCAAGACTTCTTCATCATAATGAGTGTAAATGATTTGTCATGACTTCTTCATCGTATATGTTTACGTTAATGGTTTCATCGTAAATGATTTGTCGAAACTTCTTCATCGTAATGAGCGTAAATGATCCAAAAATAATGTTTATGTTAGAATGTTAGATCTAACACCTTTTCTAACATGTTTTCTACCCTCTTGAATTTTCATGATTTCTTCATCGTATATGCTTTGTCAAACATGAGTGTAAATGACTTTGTCATTACTTCTTCATCGTAATGAGTGTAAATGACTTTGTCATGATTTCATCGTATATGCTTTGTCAAACATGAGTGTAAATGACTTTGTCGAACATGAGTGTAAATGATTTGTCGAACATGAGTGTAAATGACTTTGTCATGGTTTCATCGTTAATGATTTGTCAAACATGAGTGTAAATGTTTTGTCATGACTTCCTCATCGTATATGTTTACGTTAATGGTTTCATCGTAAATGACTTTGTCATAACTTCTTCATCGTATATGTTTACGTTAATGGTTTCATCGTAAATGAATGTGTCGAAACTTCTTCATCATAATGAGCGTAAATGATCCAAAAATAATGTTTATGTTAGAATGTTAGATCTAACACCTTTTCTAACATGTTTTCTACCCTCTTGAATTTTCATGATTTCTTCATCGTATATGCTTTGTCAAACATGAGTGTAAATGATTTGTCATGATTTCATCGTTAATGTTTTGTCATGACTTCTTCATCATAATGAGCGTAAATGAATGTGTCGAACATGAGTGTAAATGACTTTGTCATGATTTCATCGTTAATGATTTGT